GCAGTTGCTTAACCAACTGAGCCACCCAGGCGCCCACCCTTTCACCAATTTTGAAAATAAATGTTTAAAGAAAACTGCCTACAGTTAGTGAGCTTATATTAGCTGAATCACCGGCCATGTTTATAGGCAAACAGAACCTATGTTAGCCAGAGACGGGGGAGAGGTGAGTGAAACAATCTCATAGATAGCCAGACTTTCCTCCATATCCACCCTGACTTACAATATTAACCCAGTTACTGGTTCACACAGAGAAACACATGCCCCTGACACCAGTAAGTACTATTTCCAAATGCAGTCAATGTCTAAAGACAACAGAATTATATCATCAAAGGGATTATCTTATTAAAAAGACCTTAAAAGTCTATTTGATCCAACCTCTAGGCAAGAAACTTACATTCCTAACCTCATTTTAATGGCAGCTGAAGCCTTCCGAGGCCAAGTAACTTCGGTCCTCTGAGAAGTAAGTGGTTGAAGCAGAGACCAGAAACTAGGTCTCCTACTTCCTGGGCTCACCTTGTTCTCTTCACTACATCACAGCAAAGGGAAGTCATTAAGGATTTGTTAAGGTCCCTATCTAGGCAGCTATACTAACATGAGTCCTTTACATAGTTTATCTTGTTTAATCCTCTTGTCGATTCTGTGAGTTAGATATTATCTCCATGTACAAGATGAGGAAACTGGGGGCGCCTGAGTGGCTCAGTCGGTTGAGCGTCTGCCTTCAGCTCAGGTCATGATCCCAGGGTCCCGGGATCGAGTTCCGCATCGGGCTCCCTGTTCGGCGGGGAGTCTGCTTCTCCCTCTCCTCCCCACCTGTGCTCTCTCACTATCTCTCTCTCTTTCAAATAAATAAATAAAATCTTAGAAAAAAAAAAAACAAGATGAGGAAACTGGATTCAGAGAAATTAGGTAACTCACCACAGGTCACACCCTTGGCATTTGGACTAGAAGCCAGAATGGTTTTCCCTCACCTTGAAGACCTGCAAGTTAAAGAAATCATAATTAACATTAGCACGGTGCTACAAAGTGCTTTCATATTATTGAAAAGAAAATGAGAAGTAAACTTCTGAAAATAAGAACATCTTTATATTATGCAAGCTTAAATATTCCCCAATAACTGCACCTTAAGACTGGAGTTTGGTTAAATACCAGTAAGATAATCTCTAACCAACTACAAAGATGTCACCTCTAAAGGTGAACTTGAGACACAGGTAGCACCTTAAAAAATTACTGGTATTTGTAGTAAATATAAAGGAAAAATAAAATTATTTTTAAATCTCCCATTTAGGTTAAAAAGAGAAAATTTTGAAAAATAATTCAATTTTGTCTATTTTCCTCCATTTTTTTCCATGTACCACACACAGTATAGCTTATTTTGCCAGAACTGTTTTTGAAGACTTTCTCTTTCATTCCTGTCATCACCACATCCTCTTTCAGGCAAAACAAGATGAGACTATCTGAGAGGCACCTTAAGTCTCTCAAAAGAAAAAAGTCCTCCATAATTTTAATGTATTATCATCGTAACTTTATTTCTATCTTTTATGTAGGAAATCCCGTTCAATTTGGAGAATATTACTTTTATTTCTGAAACTGCAGCAAAACTATCTTATATCTTCAGGAGTGCAACTCTCATCTTTTTAAAATTCTTTTTAATTCTTATGCGAATCTTAAGAAATTTAAATTTGTTACTCAGAAAGAAATGCTATAACCAAAGACTCCCCACACCATTTGGAACATTTCAGAATCTGTTTCTTTTTTCAAAAATAAAAACCCAACTACATACATAACAAAACTGTATGCTAATCGATGGTTTCTTTTTTACATACCAAAGGAGGAGTTTTGCCAAAGAGGCTGTGAGCCTTCCTCCTTGATTCCTGCATAGTTTCTCCAGAAGGTTCCTAGCCTTAGTGGGGTCAGACAATAATGTGTAATTCATCTATTTTGCTTTAGAAGGAGGTTAAATATATTACTCCCCTTTTCTGATTTATAATGTCATTCCCCTGCCCCCAGGGTAAAATAAAGTACAAGAAGAGAGAGAGCTTCACAGTAATCTGCCTACTAAAACAAGACATCTCTCTCCAGAGTCACTGCATTTAAAAAGGCTGCCAATCCTCATTTTATTTCACTTTTCTTTCTTCTCAGTCTGGAGTTAAAAATCAGTTCACTGATGTTATCAAATCATCAAAAGAAAGGTTCTAGAAATAGCTTCCTATTTGTGGAAGGAGCCAGAAGACATACAAAAATGGAAGAGAGCTCTCGAATCGTCTTTGCTAAAGCATTCCGTGTGTAACGAATGCAAGCAAAATCCTGAAAGGCTTGCTTAGCTATGAATTCAAGGTACTTCCGAATGGGGCTGATTTAAAAGCTAAAGAACAATGTAACCAGAAAACAGCCAAAAACCGTGACAGACCAAAAGCAAAGTTCAAATACACACTGCCCGGGGCCCGCGGTGCATACCCAGAATCACTGCACAGTTGCTTCAGGTGCTGCTCACCGCGCTCCCTGGCTCATCTGTTTCAGGTTACACATGCTCTTCTGTCAGTTGTCCGGGTTTGCCCACTCCACACGTTTACAAGTGACTCAAAGTGCCACCTGCCCCCGAACGTCCCAGCTCCTGACACCCCCGCGCCCGTCCACGCACTTACGTGTCCGCACACACACACGCACACACACGTGTCCACACACACCCTCGCCCCGGCTCCGCCCCGCAGGCGGACTGGGGCGAGGCGAGCCCGGCACAGCCTCCGCGGGGTGGGTGGTGCCGGGCGCCGCGGCCCCACCGGCGCTGTCAGCTCAAACGCCGAGCCCCGCGTCCTCACTGCAAACTCCTCGCGGCCGCCGGGGTTCCCCCAAAATGCGGAGGCCTCGCCGGTTCCCATTACGCGGGGAAAGGTCCGCGTTCCTCCCCGCGAGGGTGTCACCGGAGCCCCGGAATTCAAATAGGGACAGGCGAGGAGGAAGGGGAGGATCCTCTTTTTGACTTTCTGCGTCGCAATTCCTCCTGGTCTGCACGCAGCCGAGTTGGGGTGGGAGAGCGCTCCCATTTTTAAGGCTGCTTCCGGCCTTTCCGGGCGCGGGAGCTGTTTTGGTCAGAGGGCAAGCCCCGAGAACGCCACGGAGGCGCGCGCGAAGCCGAAGGGCACCTAGCGCGCCCGGCCCCGGCGCAGCTCCGCCGCCT